GTGGGATACCGTATCGAAGGCCTTCCTGAAGTCTAAGTAAACGATGTCAACCCCTACTCCTGCGTCCAGGTGTTTTGTAACCTGGTCATAAAAAGAGACTAGATTAGTCAGGCATGATCTACCTGCTATGAACCCATGCTGGTTTCCCCTCAGCATAATTTTTCCTGCTGGGCTCTTGCAAATGTGCGCCTTGATAATTTTTTCAAAGACTTTGCCTAGGATGGAGGTGAGACTGACTGGCCTATAGTTGCCTGGGTCCTCCTTCCTCCCCTTCTTGAAAATGGGGACCACACTGGCCCTCTTCCAGTCCTCCAGGACTTGGCCCATGTGCCATGAGTGTTCAAATACTCTCGCCAGTGGTTGCACAATGACGTCAGCCAGTGCCTTCAGTACCCTCGGATGGAGCTCATCCGGGCCTGCCGACTTAAACGCATCCAGTTCCATACCCTTTCAGAGATGAAAGGGTATCCTGATTTGATTTGGATTCAGAGATTTGGCCACTGAATTGGGCCGAATCTTCACCAAATCAAATCAGGGACTGAAGCTTCGCACAGCCCTAGTGGGTAGTTCTATAGACCTATCAGGATTGCAGGAATTGGCATTCCTACTTACTGCTTCAGCATTGCAGGTCATATTGTCACCATCAGGTGTTGCTGTAGTAATAAGAATTTTAGTCTTTGGGTATCTATGATTTTGTTTCAAAAGCTTTGTTTATTTTATAGGTGACATGGCCTCTTCCAATCATTTGTTTTCTATGTCAAGATACCACTGGCCATTTTGACTTTGAATTGTTACAGAGGCATCTTTTGTAAATGGTTTCAGTGTTCTGGCATTTTTATTGTAAGATTACTGTTTCTGTTTTCCATCCATCTAGGTCAGGGGTGGGCAATTATTTTGGGTGGAGGGCTGCTTACTGAGTTTTGGCAAGCCACTGAGGGCCGCATGATAGGCAGCCAAGGGCAGATATATATTAGTTTTCTAAATTTTTTTAGGTGCCCGTGGGTCGGATAGAATGGCCTGGCGGGCCACATATGGCCCCCAGGCTGCATTTTGCCCATCCCTGATCTAGGTCCATTTATGTTCTGTCATGATTTGTAATTTGAAGTATTATAAGAAACCCTTTTGCATATTTTGATGATTTTAACTTTTTTGCTCATAACATCTAGATAGGTCCAGCCCATAATTGCACAGATACTTTTGGGAATTGATTGAACTGAAGTGATGGTTTTGATTATCCTCATTTGTCTTAGTGTAGCCTGCACCCCCAGAAACTGGCACAAGAAGCAAGGGGGAATTCCCACTTTTAATATAGAAAATCATAGGGGTTGAACAAGCCAGTGAGATGTCCAGCTCTACTGGGCACCTCTTTGTGTAGTGATGACCAGGTTTCCCCTGCACACTACTCTTTTTTCTCCTTACTCCAGCCTCAAGCTTCCTCTTTCTTTTTCCTTTCCCCCAAGCCCCAGGGGGTCTCTGGGAGTTGTAGTCCAAATTAATCATCTGCACAGCTCTGCAGTCTGCCCCCTGTTTCCTCATGCTTGGTTTCCATATTACATTCATATTACATCAGTATCTGCTCAGCTGCTTATACTTATTTTTCAGCTTTTCCATTGCATTGTGTGTATTAAGGCTGCTTAGTCATCTATGTGAAACACCAACACTCTACACGTTCAAAATTTGCAGACATTTGCAGTTCAAATATTACCTTGTGTGACTTAACTGTACTAGCTGACAAGTTGTTTAAATTTCTTTTTGGGGAACTCCCCCTAATAATCATTAGCAGGCAGTTTTTTTTTTCTCCATGCCCAAATAAATCACTTGCCAATTGATCCCAGGCTTTGCTTGATGCATTACATACTGTCATGTGCACACACATCTCTGATCATTTAATCTCTGTGCATTCATGTTTAGCCAATAAAGTGTCTCTTACTGGGTTTTTTTTTTTTTCCCATAGTTCTATGCTAAAATGTTTCTCATCAATCTTTTCAAGAATTTTTGGCTGTATCTTTTTTAGAATCACTGGGTGCTTCTACATGTGCGCCTGACTGTGCATTTGTTGCTGCACAGTAACCGCCATTACTGCACAGTCCCAGTGGTGCATGGGTCATTTCCAACCATACTGCACAGTAGCATCAAACTATTGTGCAGTAGCATCAGTGTCATGATTCATGCCAGCTGATGCTACATTGCCATAGTGACAAGCTATGTCTTCCTAGCTTGGCGCTATGGTGACGTAGCGTCCTGTGTAGACGTGCCTACTATTTCCTTTTTCACTATTCACACTTGACAAGGACAGAAAGTAAGCGTTAAAGAGTCTTAATGGCATTAAGGAGTTGACTAGATGGGATGTAGGTAATGGCGTTAATGGCATTAAAGAGTTGACTAGATGGGAAGTAGGTACCACACACATGACTTATTGAATAGCAGTTGCCAACACATGGATTTTGTGCACACTTTATTGTATGGGCTACTGGAGTTACCTCTTTAGCTCACTAACAAAAATTGCATTTTTGCAGCAGAAAGGCATGTGTTCCTTCAATATGCCTTCCATATTAGTGCAGCTGATATACATCCATGGTTTATATATGTATGAAACCAAGGATTATGATGGCATGCCATGCAGAATAACTGCAAGTAAATTATAACTTAATTTAACCAATTTTCTGAGAGACTAAACCTGACCATCTCTGAAAACAAAATTAATTAGTTGTGCACTTAAAGCCATTCCACGTTTCCTAGTCATTTAAGAATATCTTTAAAAAGACCTAGTACAGTCAATAGATAATGTGTAATTAATGAACAAATTTCTATTTGGGTAAAATAGATGCTAATTAAGCATGCCCATTCACTTAAGAGCAGTACCTCTTTTCTTAAGCAAATAAATCAATGCATTTAAATAGTTCCTGAACTGACCAAGGCAAACAATTGGAAAAAAGAAAAATTGAGTAATGATCCATTATGGATCTCTGAGTGTATATTCCAACTGCACTGGACAGCTTCTCCTCCTGCCCTATAAACTGGATTAAAATATTTAGTGATTAGGTAGCTAGTTTTGCTAGAATACTGACCAACATCATCTTACTGCTTCCGTGTGTTCTCCCCCATTCTTTTACTGACCTGCTTGCCAATGGTCTTAGTTCCTGACATTTTCAGTCACCTCTTTTTTTGTTTACAAGGTGCCTAGTGAAATGGAGCCATACTTTATAATTTTTTCTCCTAATTAAAGGGAGATATTTTATGTATGACTTCATTAACTGTAACTGTGTTTTTGTTGCGGGTACTTCTGTGGAATTAGTCTCCAACAAGACTGAGCCCTCAATGTTTTGAATGTTGATGGAAAGAGATGGTTTCTTTTTCAGTGTGTTCACAAATTAAATAGACCAGACAGTGTATAGAATTAAGATATGGCTGTAGTCTCACCTGCAGAATTTTATCATTAAATCTCGACAAAGAGCATACCTATACAATAGATTCATATTCTTTTGACAACACATTCCATGTTAGATTACCTTTTCTCTGTGCTTCAGCTGGTTTACATTTTATGTGTACTTGATTGGTCTGGAGTTAAGAATGAGATGATGAAGAGATGGATGCTGTCTTAGAGGAAAGGAAGTGGCAGGACTGCAAACCCTAAGCACTCAAAAAATCATTCTATGGCACTAAAAATCATGGAATTTATTTAAACAAAAATACTTTTTTATTGTTTTAATATCTTGATTTTTTTCTATTTGCTTTCTGGTTTGGAGACTTTATTGTTCAAGTTTTCAAGCTTTTGTCTGCAGTCATCAGTTTAAACTTTCTTCCAGTTTGTTCACTAAAACCTGAGTTTCTACCAAGGAGACCTTGGGACTCCTTGAACTTGCTTTAAAAAACCACCAAAATATTGCAAAATTTGTAGCAGAGTCATGGTCGGCACTAGGAAGTAGGCAGGGTTTCCTAGCTGCAGGCACTTCTTTGTTGCTACTGCTTCCACCCACCAGTAGGATGAGATGCTAGCTACTCTGTAAACAAACTCCTTCTGCTGCTCCCATTTCAGATTTTTTATTTTGTTAGTCTCCTACTCAAAACATCCAATCCAATCAGCCTAGAAGGAAAGGAAACTGTGTTTCCTCTTACTTTAACCTCTGAAATAGGCTGCCACTGATTCAACAGTCTAGTATTTTAATAACTGTAAACTCATCATGCCAGATTCTGGGTTGGAATAAATCTGTTTTATGGACTTCGGTGGAGCTGCAGTGATGTACATGAGCTGAGATTCTGGCACATTCTTAAAACTTAACACTCAACTTGCAATTATTTTTTAAAAAGGCCATCAAGGAAAATTACACAAGAAAATACTGGAAGCACTCAACTGAAATAAAAACAATCGGAGAAGAACATGCAAACCACATAAAAATGTCTCAAATCTAACATGGGGTCAGAACTGCAGAACTCTGAGTAGGTTAAGATTTGAATTGGAATCAGACAAGTTTCTAATTATAATTGTATATGACACAAACAAAAAAGAGAAAAATATTATACATATAAATCATCTTCAAGAAAATAACACCTTGAGATCTATTTCATATTGATACTGAGTGAAATTCCTTGCGATGCAATTTTTATTTTAATTGTCTGGTCTAGAAACTTGTATTGGTGCTGACAGTCCAACTGTGTGCTTTTCTTTTCCTAGGAGTAAAGGTTCTGCATGTCTAACTAGGCCCTTGATTTACACCTATGCAACATAATTGTTTGAAAAGGGTTTGCATGTATAACAATTGAAATGTACTAAACAAGTCTGATGGTACACAAGATGAAGACAGAATTCTCATTCTGTCCAAGTTGATCACATTTTAAAAGAAGGAAATAATACCATATTTTCTCACATATAACATGTATCTGTCATGACCCAAAAGGCATGATTGTGTGTGTGTGCTTCAGCATCAGAATTATCCACATTAAGTTGCAGAGCATTGCACAGGAGTTTCCTGTAGCAAGAGGAAGCGCCGGTGCAGGGACCAGTTTCCCGCCTTTTCTGCAGCTTCTTTTGCAGAGTGCATTGCTCGAGTTGCAAGAGGAATGCACGGTGCAAAAGAGTTCCCGCCACCGGTATGCAAATTTGTTCCCCGTGATTGGCTAGTGCTAAATTATTCACACGTGGCGGCTAGCGATTGGCCTGTTAGCCGTATAAGAGGCTTGAGCAGTTTCCGCCCAAGCCGAAGAGGACTCCACATCCATCTCGTGGGGACTCTGGGTACACGGCAGGGTAATAGAAACCCTGTGTGAGATCCAGAGGAGCGTGGCGGCCTGATCCACCGCCCACCTCTTCCCGTCTTCGAGCGCGACTAATATAAGACGTATTTACGATTTCTACATTGGTGGCTCGTTCACCCAGAGCATCCGGAGCTCTGCACCGTGGAGCCTAGCAACCTCCACGAGACCGTCTGTGTTGTGTCTGTCTGTAACTGCAACTTAATCAAGCTTTCCAGCCTACACCATTGCCATCTCGGTGTAAGTAAACAATCTTTTAAACTACCGATACGCGTCCGTGCCTAATTCCAGAGCGAAGGCCTTCCCTCTCCGCCCCCGCGTGCCCGGGCTGCTGGCCACAGCCCGCGTGCAGCGCAAAAAAGGGCTCGGGGCACTCCCGGCCCGCACAGTATCTTTGCCCCAGTAATCAGCCCTCCAAAACTGGTGTGCTTATTTTAAGCAGGGAAGCTGTTTTCTTCACTGGAAAAGAAGCACTGTTGGAGATGGATGTAACTTTTTAAGATAAGGTTAGACAAATACTTGACTTAAATGGTGGAAATGGACGATTCTGCTATGAGTAAGGGGTTGGACCTTTAGAGTCACTTCCAGTCCAATTTTTCCATAATTCTGTAAATATTGTATATGCAGTGGCATTTGTGTCTACTGTACAATATATCTTCAAAGTCCACATAAAATGTGTACTGTACATTAGTATAACTATCAATAGAGCTTGTTTCTGTTTTTAAAACTTGGTATATAGATTAGACAGATGCACTAAAAGATGCCCTGAGTCTAGCAGATATCCTCTGTTTATATATAAATCTTAGGCTGTGCCTTATGCCATGATGCGTTCCTCCATATTTCTTTTCCTTTATACATTTTCAGATATTATCCAGTCCTTAGTTTTTTTGTAAGATTCTGATCTTTTCTGTGGAAAAAAAGACATTTTAAGATTATGTTCTGACTTGTTAGTCTTGTAAGAATTGGTATAACAGACAAGAACAATGAACAGTGAAATGGAAGTATAATAAAAGAACATGTCATAAACATCCTATGATACTTAAAACAGCAAGTTAATAAACATGATCTTTACATTGATAGACTTCAAATAAAATCTCCAAGAAAATCTGGTTTTTAGTATGGTTATTGTTTTGAAAAAAAAAAAAAGCTATTTACATGCTGCATGCTTTAGCTCTTGGTAACTTATCTTCACTTCTTTCCTATTCAAAATGAACTCATAATAAAAACAAAGGCTTGTTTTTTTATTTCTCTTTCTGATCATTTATGATGTATTAAAATAGCTTTGAAACAACCTTTAATATTCTTTTATGCATAGAGAATTTAAGTGCATAATTTCTATAAGCATTAATGAGATTTAAACATAGTGAGAATTTCTTCCCCTCCATTAATTATATTGTATAATTCATATAGTACCAAAGTGTTTTGAAAATTACTTATGTTTGTAGTAAATTGACAAAAGACATCAAGCACAATAGTGGTAGAAGAAGAAACTTCTCAGTAATGACTACAAAATGCCATATGCTTAGCCAGGGGTGGATCCCGAAGGGGTGAAGTGATGCATTTACATGCTCTTTTCAACCATGCTGCAGGAGCAGGACTTGGGGACTTTTAAGTCCCTGAGGCAGGTTAGAATCCCTTCCCCAGCCACCTCAGTACTCTGTCCCTTCCCCTCTGCTCAGTGATGCCTCCTTTCCTCTCCTGCCCCCCCTCCCCTTCCATTGCTGCTGCTGTCCCTGACTGAACTGGAGGTACAGCCAGCTCCAGAGCCACTTCTGCTACACCCTAGCCAGGTTGCTTTTATTCCAGTGTGAAACAAAAGCAAAATTTGAAACTTCAAAATTTGCTGGGAAATGGAATTGTCTCTATGCCCATCAGCTCTAATACTATATATAAATCAGCCAGCCAGGTTCTTTGAATAGATGTGCTATCTTTTATTAGACCAACTGAATAGCTGGAAAAAGTTAGCAAGCTGTTGGGCGCAATCACCCTTCTTCAGGCATAGGGAGTGTCTGCTGTTCTGAGACTCCAAGGAATGAGAGAAGCTAAAAGTGTGACAGCATGTCAGTGAGACTGTAAATAGGTGAAATTAGGAAAATGAAAGGGAGGGGGAAGAAAAATGGGGTGGCAGGGAGGGGAAAGCCAAAGGAAAGTAAAGGAGACTCTACAGCAGCAGTAATTCAAGGTAGAAAAGAGGCTAGCTGTGAAAAAGGAAATATTTGGAAATTAGGAAGTCAAAGGGCAGAATAGCTGTCGGGGAAGAAGAAAACTGTAAGAGGTCAGGTCTGGCAGATACCTGGTGAATCAGATGTCTGGCAGGTTGTAATGTGTCATGAATCCAATGTCTATATTGAGTCCATAATTTTTTGTATCCAGTAGATTTATGAAGTGAAGTTAATGGGCTTGTCTATGAAGGTGTTTTGTAAATTTCCTTTGAGGATTAAAACAGTTTGGAGAGGGAGTGCTTATTTTGTGAGAAGTGTGCCTCACAGATAGTTGGGTATTCTTGTCTTTGATAGATTTTTCAGTGCGCACTCATTCTGGTGTGCAGTTGTTGTTTAAGCAGTTGTTGTTATGGATTAGCAAGGTACACATCTCAGAATTATCTAACTAAACTTACTGAATACACACTGGTCTTGGGAACTGGGAAGAATGGAGAAAAAGCAAATAATGCAATCTTTAAGGAAAACTATGTGGAGGAAATTGTGATTTGATAAATCTAACTTTCATTCCTACAAATTGATTGAAAAAATGCTAAACAAGAACAAAAAGAATCTTTAAGCTTCTAGAGCAGTGGTGCTCAAACCATCCAGCCTAATGGCCCTGGCACTAAATTTTTGAATCCATAGGGAGCCCTGCAGGCCAGATGATATTGCTTCTGGGGCTGGATCAGGTCCATGGGTTGAGTATCAGTGTTAATCTAGAAGATAATGGAATTGAAAGCAAAATCAGTAAAATACATAGCATTAGAACAAATTAAAATAGATGCTAAATATTTGTTTTGATCAAATTAAATTGTCTGCAGTTTTTTCATATAACGTGACATTAATCTGGACTTTACCAAGTCATTTTATACAGAAAATATGTAAAACATGAATTCAAATGGGTTTTGTTATAAATATAGTCATATGGGGAAAATGCCAGTGGTTATTCTGAATCTGTTTGGAACTATGGCAGGATATATTTATTATTCCATCTTTTTTTTTCTTTATAAACATTCAAACCTGTCCTTTAGCTACGTAAACTTCGAGAGTTTTTGGAGGAAGCAACCTTTCCAATCAAATGATTAGAGAGAAGGTGATTTGTCTGTTATCAGAATTATATTGATTTTTCCATTGCAGACTGATGACCACTGTGATACTAATATATGATCTGGGGTGATCAAAATTCACAGGTGTGATGCAGCTGATTTGCCTTGTACCCCTGGAAGGACCAGTCTTTCTGTCTTTGGACAGCTCAATCCCATCCTTGCTCTTTACCTATGTGTAGAGGGTATGGCTGGGGAAAAGGCAGACAGCTGGAGCATTGCTGCACTCTTGTATTTCCTGGCTGCTGGGGCCATTGGCAACTGGATACAAATTAGATCAGCTATAAGACTATTCTAAATTTAATTTGGGGCTATCAAAGGGGTGTTGAGGAAGTCTAACCTCCAGGCTCTTGGGCTGAATGCAGTTTGGCCAAACCCAAACATTAGGGCCCATTACTTTAGTTGAATCATTCCTGACGTATGATTGTAGCAGAGAAGAATCATATCCATGGAACACTTGCAGTCTTACATACCTAAAGTAACAGAGAGCCTTAAAGTTATGAGGTTATTCTCCTACTTTACTTGGCATTGGCGAGGCTGCAGCTGGAGTACTGCATCCAGCTCTGGGCACCACACTTCAAGAAGGATGCGGAGAAGCTTGAGAGACAAGTGGCTCTTCTCTAGACTATGATTAGAGGTCTGAAGAGCAAGCCATACAAGGAAAGGCTGACAGATATGGGACTGCCTACAAAAGAGAAGACTAGGGGGGATTTGGTAGCAGCTTACAAATATATCAGAGGAGAGCATCAGGGGCTAGGCGAACAGCTTTTCACCAAAGTGCCTTGGGGAAAACTAGAAGCAATAGTCATAAACTCCTAGAAGAAGGTTTTAGATTGGATATAAGGAAAAACTTCTTCATGGTTCGTGTGACTGGACTCTGGAATAGACTCCCAGTGGGGTGGTGCAGGCATCTAGCCTGGTGATCTTCAAAAGGAGACTGGACACACACACACACACACACACACACACACACATATACTTTTATGGGTTTATTTGACTCTAGCAGCCTTCTCTGCCTAGAGCAGCAGGGCTGGATTTGATAATTTCATGAGGTCCCTTCCAGCCCTAAACTTCTGTGAATCTGTGAATTCTTAAGCATTTAAACTTCTTTATTATATTAGTACCATTTCTTTGTTGCTGTGACAGAATTGAATTTCTCAAAGGTCTGGAACTGTATTTCATATAAATGTACATAGTTAAACATACCTCACAGATATCCAGCAAGTTTAAACAGATAAATCATGCAGTGTTGTCTTCATAGTCATATTTTTAACCAAGATCAAAAGCATTTTACAGTGATGCTAAAATAAGTTGCTTATGCCCAGTGAGGACTTAAGCTATCTACTGACTTCAATCCTGACGGATCCATATCCTCCAGAATTTACACTAGTTTGCTATATGGTCAGAGTACATTCACCCATACAGTTTGTCCTTCTCTGTGTTGATATTTCTGTTGCACCCCCAATGGGTGGCTCTGAGGGAGGCCAGTTTTGTTCAGAGATGAAAGTTGCAGTATTGCCAGCCCCACTGTGCCAAAAATCATGAGATGAACTCTTAAAATCAAGAGATTGGCATGTAAATCATGAGGCGCTATTTTTGAAGTGTGTGTGTTGCGGGCTGTGGGGGTGTATATGGGGTTTGGCGCCCAGGGAGGGAGGGTCCCCAAACACCCTGGCAGGATGTGGGCTACTATGGGTCAGGAGTAAGAAGCAGCAGCAGGGCTGGGTGGGCTGTGGTTTGGGAGTGAGGAGCAGACAGACACACACAGACACACTGATAGACACACAGACAGCACGCAGCTGATAGGTGGAGGGAAAGGGGTGGGGGAGAGGGAAGGGGCAGGGGGGGAGATCAAGGCCCCTGTGGTGAGGGAGGGAGTGGGGCAGGAGAAGAGGCAGGGGTGAATGGGGCCCCAGGGCAGGGACCGGTTATAGGGATTATCTAACAATTGCGGGGTTGTCTTAAATTCAGGATCATTTTACATTTGAATAAATACTGTATGTTGTCCATAATCCTGACTTTGAGTGATCTCAATATATTTTCAGTTTATAAAAGGGTTTTTAATTACAGCATAATATCCTGTTATTGATTTTTTGCTCAAAATTCCCATTCACTGCAAGTGCAATGATAGCAGGCTATGGCTGTATGTAGATCAGTCTAAGAGTCTCATAACACCTAATTTCCTACATGAGTGAAGCTCAGAAATTGTAAAGTTTACTACCTGCTGATATTGTTAAAGAGCCACTTGCAATCAGGGACAATTTTGGACTGAATTAGATTGGCGGGGTGCTGTATTACATATGTAGCAAAATATGAATAGATTATAATATCGGGATAGAGCCAATGAATCACAAAACGTCGCTGAAAAATATGGGAGAGATTTATTCTTCCACTTGAACTGAAAACATCACTTACACCTAGAAAAGTGCCTTTTTGGTTCTAATGTTTTGCTAGCTAGCTGAGCCAGTTCACAATGTAAATTCGGCAGCAGTAACCAATGTTGCATCTTAATTGTGAAGTTATTAAAAATTAATTTTTAAAACCACATGTATTATATGTCTCTCTCCTTCTCTCTATCTCTTTGCATATATCACATTATGAGAGAGAATCATATAATACAGCACATTATTATTTGTTTTTGAAAACATAAATATGAATCAGATACACATCTGTGTTTATATAGCCATGGATAAATCTGAATTTAAATTCATCTTTAGTTTTTCACCTCTTCCCCACACAGCACTTCTGCTTCCTTAATGGTTTTCATTATAATGGCTTGAGTTATAAAGCCTTGTGGCAAAAGATAATTTAATGGAAGCACCCTGCAGTATCTGACTAGCAGAACTACTACATGAATTAATATAACAGAGTATTGTTTCTGTAAAAAGGATACATTTATTTTATGGTTATTGCAGGGCTGCTTTCTAGATGTCCCAAACTAGCATTGAACATTTTCAAAAGTGAACCTCTTAACTCTCAACAGCAGGGCAATTTCTTGGCCTAGCAATTTTCATTTGCCATGCTTACTTTCCTGTTCAGTATGGCTCTGATCTGATAAGTGACTATATACAAATAACATCTCTTGCTGAACACATAACTGCTTGTATTTTGACTTAAGTGAAAGATAACTTTTAGTCTCTGTTAGCACTACATAGTCAGTATAGTAGAAACAGTGACCTGGGTTCAGTTCCTTTTGGTATACATTCAACTGATTGTAGTAGAACTATTGCTAAATTCCAATTGCAGTGCCAATAGGCTTTACTTGACAGTTCCATGGACCACACTTGGTCTGTTGTCTAGGATAAGAGGCTAAATCTGTCAAGTTGCTCTAGTATTACACAGATCAGAATTTGACCACATGATTTTTAACTTTAACTGCAGCTATTTTGTTATCAAGGAATGTCAAGGCCTGCTTTGTTTTCAGATAACATGGCAGGAAGTTGGGAGGCATGGGATAGGTTCCTTTCTGTCCATTACTCCAAGTCATTTGTGCTGCTTTAGTGTACAGTTGGATGTAAAGAGGGTGAAGCAGTCATGAATTAAAGGAGGGTGCATTTATTGATTGAACCTGCAGTAACTTTAGAATCCCTGTTCAAAGGTGTGCAAACTCATCTTTTGTTTGCCTCTCCTCTGCCCATCTCTCCCTACCCCTTTCTTTTTCGGCAGTGCTTCCAGAGACACGCAGCTCAGAACTAAGGCCAACATTTGTGTGGCAATTAGAAGCAGCTTGAGACCATTTGGCTTGTGGTAACACTGTTCATTGTTTACACTGTTTACTGGGGTTGAAGTGATATTTTTATAAACAAAATCTTGAAGAGGTGAAAGGTTCTCATGATGACTTGTCTAGTATCTCAGGGAGCTTGTGAAGAATTGTTTGGCTCTGTGATTACAGCGTTTTTCTCCGATAATTTCAATAGTTGTGTTAGCTGTGTCCTACATTAGCTTCTGTATGGCAACTGACAGCATTTTTCTTCATGAAAAGGAATTTTTAATGGGCTCTACCATAAATAGCTGGAACTAGCCATTTTATGTGAAACATACAGGATATGAGTCATTATCAACAGTAGGAAACTTTAGATCCTCAATATCTGCTAGGGTCTTATCCAGAGTATTATTTAATCTAAGCAGAACACTAGTCAAATCCGTTTACTGTTATTAATACTTTTTAAACTCATTCCTGTTTATTTAGTACTCATTTAGGCCCTATTACATTAAATTGAAAGTCAGGGAAAAGACGGTATCCTCACATAGCAAATAATGTTTTGATTCTGGTAGAATACAGAACAAGATAACTCATAAACCCAGAGTTTAGTTCTTTCTTTGCTCTTCCATGGAAGACACTTTGACTTAAATAAAGTCTTTTAATGACATGGTGGAAATCTGAAGTTTAACAATATTAGTATTTTAGTAAAGAGAAACTAATCATTACTCTAATACCTTCCAGAAATCTTTAAATAACTATTCCCCGCATTTCTTTTTATAGAGAGAGTTCCTGAATTGCACATGTACATCACTAATTCTAAAAGTCATGGGAAATGTTTTATATTACAGACACTAATGTATGAATACTGAACATAGTAGCATACAATACAGTTTGCAGTATCTTTAGATTC